TGACACCATTGGAGGGGTGACACCAAAATTACTGACAGTTATTTTGGTGTCACCCCGCTCTGAAAAGTCGGGCACTCAGTTCATGGACCGAGAGCCGGAGGGGACCCGCCGGCATTCCTCATCCCGCCGGGTGACTGTCCCCTCCTCTCTCTACCGGCGTCCATCACCAAGATGGCCTCCGGCAGGTATCAAGATGACCGTGCATGCGCGATGATGTCATCACGCGTGTGGTGACGTCACATGCATGCGCAATGACTTTCAGGGTGACGCCTGGCCTTGGGACTCATTCACATGGACGTGAACCTCCGTATGGGGCGCACGCCAATGCAGAGACCTGCTCCCGGGACCAGTCACCTGTACATCCCTATGGGAGTACACGAGTGACTGCATGCCAACACGAACCTGCACATTTGTGCGGGTCTGGGTGCCCAGACTTGGACGCAGACAGTGCGCATCCAGGATGGGCACGCCCATGTGAAGGAGCCCTTAAATGATACATGTGTGAGCTTAAAGCTGAACTGCAGGCGACCCGCTGAATACACACATAAAATACATATATGGGCGCTGTTTTACCTGCCACGGGATTTGTATTTCCATTCATCCAGTCTTGAGATTTACACAGCTCTGCCACACAGCGCAGCCCCACCTGAAGAGGGCTATTGAAGTGAACAACAAGTACAATACAAGTATATATTAAGACCGCGGTGCTCATACCTGTTTATGGGTCCCTTTGCTGACAGTTATGACCTAAGTCTAAAGCTGGCCATATACATGACAATTCTCATTCAATCACAACCACTCTCCATGAGGGTTGCCACCTTTTCTTCAAGCGAAACCCAAACACACTCTAGTAATGCGTGGACATTTTTTTTGGAGAATGAGTTGTGGCTTATGCATTTGTAAATAGCGCCGCCCATTCATATGTAAATATCACAGTTGAGACTATTTTCAGTGGGGGGCCAGTAGCCCCTATCTTAATTTTGGTTGCCCCTGTCTGCCTGACATCTTGTGTCCGGGTTTCTGCTGCCATGAAACCCGGACACAGCACTCAAAACCCGGACTGTCCGGGTGAATCCTGGACAGGTGGCAACCCTACTCTCCATCCATTGGGGATCCTAAGTAATCACCAGAAAACGACCATCACCCACCCAAAAGTTTGATGGACCCCCAGAATTTGGTCGATTATGAAGTCAAACTGGACAATGAATTAATGGGTTTTGATACAAATGATAGAAAGATTGCAATAAAAAAAATCAAAAGCGATCGGATTACGATGCTGAATTATTGATTGAGTCAATGTCAAAAAAACGATTGGAGACATTAGAGTGTCACCTGATCAGTCGGTATCTCTGATCTTTTAATGTAGCACATGATCTATATGATTGATAGGAAATGATCAATACATTTCCGGATCAGATTTTGATTGGGGCAATTTCAATGCTGAATTATTGATTGATTCAATGTCAAAAAAACGATTGGAGACTTTAGATCATCACATGATCAGTCGGTAGCTCTGATCTTTTAACGCAGTACATGGTCTATATGATCGATAGAAAGTGATCAATACATTTCTGGAGCAGCCAAGCAATGTGCCGTGAACGATCGATCCTTTTCCTTATTGATTGGGTAATGCATTCTCCATTGATCATTTTCATGGTTTGATATATTGGGTCAGTCAAATGATCATATCGATGTGTACACGTGGACAGCGTAATGATTGGTTGTGACATCCAATCAATTAAAGGATCGCAGCGTTTGAAGAATCCGTACATATATGGCCAACGGGAATCTTCCCAATCAGTCACGATAAAGATCTCCCTCCCTGACAGCTGACAGCAAATGGGGCCAGATCACTATCAGGGTTATTAAGACTTTACGGCCGCTGGTGTCAGGGTGTTGTATCAATCCACATCACAGTCAGTGTGGCCTGCAAATACAAGTTCTGCTCTCACATATGAAGACACCTCTGTGAATACAGAGTAAGCTCCAAGATCATTTGTTTGTGTGAGTGGGGGGCTTGCCCATGCAGGTCAAAGGAACAAGTTGGCTTTTATTTTTGCCCCTGCAGTTGCACATACTCCCCTTGCCTGTGCTCCTCTTCCAAACCCAGATTTTGGCAGGGAATAGCCAGAGATTTGGGCAGGAAGAGAATACAAGTGAATAGCAGCATGCACACACAGCCTTGAAAATAAGGCTGAAGCCATCAGCCAGAGGGAGCTTTGGGCAGGAAGAGAATACAAGTGAAAAGGAGCAAACACACCTATCCATGAGAGGTAAGGCTGCACCCAATAGCCATAGGGAGCTTTGGCCATGAAGAGAATACAAGTGAAAACGAGCAAACACCCATCCATGAGTGGTAAGGCTGCGGCATTGGATTTATATCCTTTGTGGCCATTGAGGAATATATTTTAATGAAAGCTTTTGTGGTCTAATCCAGCACTGTGATCCCATTTGTGTCCTGACGTCATTAACCTGGACTGACTTCGCCCAATGATGAAAGCTCATTATCCTCCATTAGTTCCCCCATTTAGGATAATGATGTCGGTTCCCGGTGATTGGCAGGTCGGTGATTAGAAGCTCGGTGTGAAGTGAACATCGGAGGGTCATTGTTACATTTTTATACCTTGGCAAACACACCTGATGAGAATGAAGGCAATTATCATGTGCTGGTTCTATGGGGGGTCTGTATAGGAGGCCATTGTTCCCTGTCATCAGCTCTACAAACCCCAACTGGATACAAACAAACACATTCCTTTCTCAATAATCTCCAGCACCCACTTCCTCTCTATATGCATGGGCTGCTCATCATGGAATGGCTTCCTGATGGTGACATATAATCACTTCAAGGACAAACACGACTTGTTACAATTACAGCTGAACACCCAGCAAACAGCTAAGCGTGCAGAAGACATTTTGAAATTTGCATAACTCCTCCCAAGAACCCGCCCACTGCTTGCATGAGACCACATGATAAGAAATGGTGGTTGTCACTGGGAAATTTGCATAACTCCTCCCAAGAACCCACCCACTGCTTGCAGGTGACCACATGATAAGAAATGGTGGTTGTCACTGGGACAGGAAGAGGCAGGGACTAATGAAAACCCGACAGAGGATCTAAACCTTCTCTATATCTGGACAGCAGCCTGTCTCTATATCTGAGACAGGGTGCTGTGATGTTACCAAGAAGCCCCTCCCACCAGCTACGATCTGTCTGGTGGGATGTGCCGCGGTCGAACAGACCGCGGACATCCCATAATGTTCGGCGAACGCTAGAACATGCAATGTTCGAGTCGAACCTATGGTCGACTCGAACAGGCAGCCCATCCTTAGTCTGCACGGAGAAGCACAGGGACCCGGTGATGATGTCACTGGAACTAAAATAAGATGTGACTACTATGCATTTAGTGATAGCCAGGACTGTAGACAGCCTGGCTGGATTTGAAATGGCAATTATCTGGTTAATCCCAGGTGTCTAGCATTGCCTGTACCCCCCTGGGCGGAGTGAGACTCTGGCATATTGTGGAACAGCCAATGGTGGATACTGTAATATGTGTACAGTACAGCAGCCAACCACTGGGCTTCTCTCAGCCAGTGGTGCCTGCTGGGAGAGTGTACATATATTGGTGGGAGCAGCCATGTGATGTCTCTCTCTCGCCGGGATCAGCCATGGATTAGTGCTGGGTCCTGCTCAGTCATCCCCCCCACAGCTCGCGGTATTCTGAGCCTAGGGTGACGGGAGGACGCTAGTTTGTGTCCTCCCATTACCCTAAGGAGAACTATGGGGAAAAGCCTTAACCCCATAGTTCTCCTTTAAAGCTCAGTTCACACAGGAGCGGTTGTCCGCGCGTATTCGTACGGCCGAATCTACACCGCTCTAAACATAACAAACAAATTAATTTTAATGTTGCGAGGGCTGCACAGTACAAAACCGCACGTCCCGCAAAAAAAGTCCAAAGCGCAATTTCAGGGGCGTATACCGCACGTCCGCGGCTATAGTAATAGCCGTAGACGAGTGGAATCCGCGCAGTTGTAAGGATTTTAGCGTTTTTGGGACGTGCGGTCTTCCAAAGGCAATTTCAGGGGCGTATTCCGCACATCCGTGGTTATAGTAATAGCCGCAAACGAGCGGGATCCGCGCGGTGGTAAAGATTTTAGCGTTTTCGGGATATGCGGTCTAAAAGGCAATTTCAGGGAAGTATTCCGCCCATCCGTGGCTATAGTAATAGCCGTAGACGAGTGGGATCCGCGTAGTTGTAAGGATTTTAGCGTTTTCGGGAGGTGCGGTCTTCCAAAGGCAATTTCAGGGGCGTATTCTGCACATCCGTGGCTATAGTAATAGCCGCAGACGAGCGGGATCCGTGCAGTTGTAAAGATTTTAGCGTTTTTGTGCCGTGCGGTGGTCTTCCGCTCTTTGTGACTGGAGGCTGAGGCAGATGACAGCACGTTTGTCCCCTAGACTTCAATGGAAACACGCAACACAAGCGTTTTTTTGCGCGCTTATCCATTGACCGCAACGTCTTTCAATCTGCCAGCTAAACCGCGCGTCTTCATGTGCGTGCGCAAAAAAACGTGCAAAACGCGCAAAAGCGAACTAAACACACTGGTTGAAAACTGCTTTTTTTTTTTTACAGCGCGGTCACTCGGGGACTCCAGTTTGAACCGCGTTTCGTGTCAGTGTCAAGCGCTCACCTCTACTGTTTCATTGCAGATCACTGGAGGAGATCGATTTGTAGTCGAGCTCACCTTCCGAAAAATGTTACAGATTACATTTCTAATAATAACAATTTAATTTATCATTACAAAAAAAAAAATTACCCCTTCCAAATGCCCCTTGTGTAAGGATGAGAGAGAGAGAGAGACAGCAGGGGATTCCTAAAAGGTATTTGAGGGGAGGGGAGGCTGGATGTAACTGATCCCACTCCGGGGTAGGAGGGATCTGGCCGCCCCTGCCTCCCTCCACACTCTCTCACTCTGCACTGGAGTTTTAAACCTCAAGCAGTCAGGACTCGGGTGCAGTCTCCCAGTGCTGAGGAGCACACACACACAAAAAGAACTGTTACTGTACACTTTTGTCATCTCGGGAAGTGGGGGGCTCATTCGCTTTACAAGTCATCCGCCATCTTGACGCCACTTCGATCACCCCTGCGCAGCAGCCCATGTGGGAGTTTGGCCTAGTTTGGCCCTGACTCTGATTCTTGACCGCAAGAGGGGCTTTCGTGACCGCCACGGAAGAGGGTACAAAATGACGCACTTGTCCGTCAACGATCACTTGGAGGGGATCCTCTCCGACTTTGAAGGTAAGGCGGACGTTTTGGCGTCCTAAGACATGTTTGAGGGTTATTAATAATAGTGTCGGACATGCGAATTCGATGTGCGAATAGATGAGTAGGGGTCTTCGCACAAAGCGCTCTAGGTGTCATTTTTCGGAAACCGCTAGGCACATCCATCGCTGCTCATTTTGATCATCTAGGTTTGGCTACGGCTTATGAGGAACCGCGACTCTTACCCTGTTGGGGTCTATAGTTCCTCCATGACCATTAAGCAGCTATGGGCAATTTTGGATAGATCAGACGCTGGTTGGACTTAAAGCCGGTTCAGAGGAGACTTCAGAACTTGCACATGGTGGGTACAGATTTTTCTTCAAGCAATGGTGTGACTTTTGGGGACTTGTAGTTCCACACAACAGGTTTGGATCTATGGCCAATTTGGTGTAGATCACATGGTGATTGGGCTTTGGGTTTTTGCAGAGGAGGCATCAGAACCTATACATGGTGCAAAACAACTATTTTTTAAATGGTGGTATAACTTTTGTGGCTTGTAGGTCATCACTACGTTTGGAGCTACAAGCATTTTGGTACGGATGCTGATTGGGCTTAGAGTTATTTTAGAGGAGACACCAGAACCTGTACATGTTAAGAACTATTTTGTAATGGTTCTATGACTTTAGGGCTTGTAGTTCCACACCGGGTTTGGATCTATGGGCAATTTGGTGTAGATCAAATGGTGACTGGGGTTAGTGTTTTTAGAGGAGACACCAGAACCTGTATAGGGTTCCACTAACACATGTTTGATGGTTCTATGACTTTGGGGCTTGTAGTTCCACAGCAGGTTTGGATCTATGGGCAATTTGGTGTAGATCATATGGTAAGACTGGGGTTAGTGTTTTCAGAGGAGACACCAGAACCTGTATAGGGTTCCACCAACACATTTTTGATGGTTCTATGACTTTGGGGCTTGTAGTTCCACAGCAGGTTCAGGTATATGGGAAATTTGGTGTAGGTCAGCAAATTGCCCATAGTTTGCTATAGACTTGCTGGATTAGATGGTGATTGGACTTGGGAACCAGAACTTAGAGGAGACCCCCACAACCTGTACATGGTGGAACACAACTATTTTTTAATGGTTGCATGACTTTTGGGGCTTGCAGTTCCACACCAGGTTTGGAGCTATGCGCAGTTTGGTATAGGTCAGATGGTGGCTGAGTTTGTTGCAAAACTTTTTAATGCTTGTGCGACTTTGGGGGCTTGCAGTTCCACACCAAGTTTGGATTAATTGGCCATTTGGTACAGATAATACGGCAACTGGGCTTAGGATCCAGAAGTTGTGCATGGTGGGAAACTACTATTTTTAATGGCTGTATGACTTCTGGGGGACACATTTTTGATGGTTCTATGACTTTGGGGCTTGTAGTTCCACACCAGGTTTAGGGCTGTGGGCAGTTTGGTATAGATGAGACATTGACTTGGCTTAAGGTTTTTTCAGAGGGGTCATCGGAAACTGTACATGGTGGAAAACATCTGTTTTTATTAGTTCCTTGACTTGTAGTTCCACACCAGGTTCGGAGATATGGATGGCTTGGTATAGATCAAATGGTAATTGGACATAGGGTTGTTTCAGAGGGGACATCAGAACATGTACATGGTGGGAAACAACTATTTTTTGTAGTTCCAGGACTTTAGGGGCTTGTAGTTCCACACCAGGTTCGGAGATATGGAAAGCTTGGTATAGATAAGAGTTTTTAGACTTAGGGTTGTTTCAGATGTTCCACCAGTACCTGAACATGGTGGGAAACAACTATATTTAGTAGTTCCATGATTTTGGAGGGTTGCAATTCCACACCAGGTTCGGAGATATGGTTAGCTTGGTATAGATAAGACGGGGATTGGACGTAGGGTGATTTCAGATGGGACACCAGAACCTGTACATGGTGGGAAACAACTATATTTAGTAGTTCCATGATTTTGGAGGGTTGCAATTCCACACCAGGTTCGGAGATATGGTTAGCTTGGTATAGATAAGACGGGGATTGGACGTAGGGTGATTTCAGATGGGACACCAGAACCTGTACATGGTGGGAAACAACTTTTTTTAGTAGTTCCATGACTTTGGGGGCTTGCGGTTCCACACCAGGTTCGGCGCTATGGGTAGTTTGGTATAGATAAGACAGTGATTGGACGTAGGGTTGTTTCAGAGGGGACACCAGAACCTGTACATGGCGGGAAACAACTATATTTAGTAGTTCCATGACTTTGGGGGCTTGCGGTTCCACACCAGGATCGGAGATATGGAAAGCTTGGTATAGATAAGACGGTGATTGGACTCAAGGTTTTTTCAGGGGGAGCATCAGAACCTGCACATGTCGGGAAACAACAATGTTTAGTAATTCCATGACTTTTGGGGGCTTGCAGGTCCACCCCAGGTTCAGAGATATGGGTAGCTCGGTAGAGATCAGAAGGTGATTAGGTGTCAGGTTATTTCAGATGGAACACCAGAAACTGTACATGGTTGGTAATTCTTTCAAGCAACATACCCATATACTTCAGAGCGACGGTTAGCCTGGGTTTCATGTGGAAAAGTGATATCCCTCATTCTGGTCCTTCAATTTTCCTAAATATGATCATTTTACCATATGGCAATCCGTCATCAGGCCGACCCTCGTAGGAGCCTGACAGCAATTTCGTAATCTTTTCCAGCTGTTCCAATCAACCATTCATCCAATTACCGCGCTGTGCTTCCAACGCCGAGCACGCGCACACAGACAAACAGTTGTTCCGAAGTGGTCAAGTTTGTCCACACCGAGACACCGTCTAGGCCAACGTAGGGATGCAGACAGCGAAGATGTTTATGAACGGCGCCGGCAGATGGCAGCATTTGGGGTTAGAGGTTGAGCTGGGCATCTAATGACATGACGAATACGATACAAGACTGAGGTCATCGGGAACAGAGTGACCATTGAGGAGCTACCCCCACCAGCGGGACCTGCTTTGACCTGTAGTTCCTCAGGAATGCAACGCTGGCTAGCATGCCTCGCCTTGTGGCATCTGGGTTTTGGGGTCATCACCCAGCAGGGACGCATGGCTTTTTTTGTACAATCCGCCTGTGTTTAGGAGCCAGTGTCCTCCCACAGCCCACAGGCATGCTGGTGGGATCATTCTGTCTGGGGCAGGGGGCAGTAGAGTGTAAGCTCCTTTGCAGAGGACCTGATAGGAATAGTTCTATGTATAGCAAGCCCAGCTTGCTATATTAACGTTGAAAAAACTCAGAAACATTTTAATATCAAATACCCGGGAGAATTCACATTGCCCCGTACACATAGAAGAGGCAATCCAGTCCCCCCCCCTTCCCCCGCAGCTCCCCCATCACCATCCACACTACATTCTCTGACAGCTCTCCTCCCACCATCCACACTACATTCTCTGACAGCTCTCCTC